CTATATATATATATATATATATATATATATATTTGCTACAGCCCCCTTCACTTGTAGACCTAACTCTACAAACGCACTCAATAAATAAAATTCCACCACTAATGTTAACTACGCATAGCTTACTTATCTTTGAACCATAAACACGTAACGTACTGAATAAATGTATAGCAAAATAGACGCAATAACTCTCATTACTATCAAAGAGTGACTTTTCTGACACTGAACTTATTCAATCATTGATTACTCAATGAATACTTTACTCATTAACTTATCATTTCTCACTCCTTAGGTAACTTAGTAACTAATTAACTGGCACTGAACTGACTTAATCATTATATATATTAGTGGTTATTCATATTTGTATCATACTCATGTTTTTTCATATTACACGAATCTTCTCCATCTTTAACTTTCGTAAACTTTCTAGATCTTAACGTCATCGTAATGACGAGATCCCTCTTACAAACATCTAAATTAAAACATTGGAAACACAGCTTACAACATTAAAATATTAAATCTAATCTTATCATGTACACAATAACAAGCCTTGTTTATTGTCATATAAACACGAAATCGTTAATACAAGGAACAATTTAGGCTACTTGCGTTTTTTCAGATTCTCCACAACTTTCAAAAAACCTTAATATTCAAATTAACAACAATAAAATATAACTAATTATTAACGAGCATTGCAAAACAAATCATATGAAAGAAAGAAATGACAAATTATTAGTTTCAAGCTAATAATTAAAATTCTACGTATCCTTGTAAAGAATCCAAACACTGCTATATCACTTCGAATAAGTTTTCTTACCATTTCCAAACAGTTCCTTGCTTCTACACAATCCAGAATAATTAAATATACACGAGAAAAATATAATATATTATATCAAGAACTTTTAAGACTTAGAAACAGGTAAGCCTAAAAATATAACTGATACTTATATTCTCACATGCCCTATCTGAAACACTCGTTTGACAATCCTAAAAGTAAAACTTGCATGTCCACACTCTTTATGTTACGAACTTATGATTCACCGTTTCCCATGACGTAATGGCACACCTAAAAAGTTATCGACACTAAATGTCACAGCCTACTTTATACTTGTCAGATTCCATCCTACTCAAGGCCTATTAACTCGTTACTCACGAAGAAATAAGCATACTGTAGTGCCATCTCCGGGTGAATATTTCAAATATAGATTTCACCAAAAACCTTATCTATTTATTTGTTTCGTCCTTATTTCAGTTGACTTCTTGGTCCTCGAAAATGAGATAATTTCGGAAAAGTGTTAAAGACGTTTTCTTTTGATTAATAATAATGTATGTACCTTTCGTTTCAAATTTTCAAGTGAATTCAAAGTTTTACCTACTGGGTGTTAAAAATGTGCATGTTGTGTAAGTTCTTGTACTCAATCAAATGTCAAAATATTGCAAAGCATTAAAATTATGAACAATTAAAATATGTATGTTCTCTTATATTTTCCACAAAAAAAATCAAAAATTGGATACTGTATACATATTAGCTTCAATATTTGGACATGAACTACGATACTTTTCATCGTATTATTAAATGAAAAATGACTGATAAACAATAGCCTCTAAGTCCCTATTTACTTTATGAATACTGGTCAGTTTGATGTCATCTGGATAGTAGTACAAGTGAACTGGAAGATGTTTATGGTTGACCACCCGTAACAGAATATACTGTTGCGTCATCGAGTCACATGACTACTGTGACGCAACGTTTCTAGAACTATCATGTACTTTGGCGAATGTTCTAGTTCTTACTAGATATAGGGTAGGCTGGTATATAAAAGAGGGGAATGTAATGTCTGGGTAGATAGTGTGTAATTGATCTGCAGTCAGAAGTATTATTGACGTTCGTTGATATAGCGTTTGTTTTAGCGCTATTGTTGAAGTTGACTGTTTCGGTAAAGTTATATTCGGAAATAATAAACCAGTTTTATTAAGAAAG